AAGTTTCCTGTCAGGTTATTCCCAATTAAGAAGTGATACATCGGATTTTCTTTAAGTAGCTGATTGCTTGCATTATTGCTGTTTTTTCTCTTCATTAGTACACAGACTAAGAATTGCTCAATTTTTCCTCATACCATAGGTGGGCAATATATTCTGCATGATTCGCGCCGTTTTAAAACTTTTCACTTGATATTTACCAATTGTTTCAAGACCAATCTCTCTTGGCGGATATGAGCGAAGTATATCAATGGAACAATCAAGTAAGAAAGCATACTAATTGTTTTGTTCTGGTGCTAAGATTGCCACTACTGATAGATTCATCAATAAATAAAGCCTTCGAAGAACAAGCGGCCTAAATCACCGAAGAGTTAACATTTTATGTTATGCTGGCATAGGACAAAAGATGAAATGTTTTTCTCTATTGCAGCAGACAAAGCAGTAGTTTCAATCTGATGTGCCAAATATTTTAAGCTGACAATTGGTTGCTAGCGCCAGCACTGAACATGGCCCTTATAGACCAACTAGGACAAGGTCACACGAGTTCCAAAGGTAAGCAACCAGCTGGTAAGGCACAGTGGAGAGAAGCGATACAGGTCTGTAGTGTTGGCAACACGCTATTTTTCTCGGAAGAGAGGAAATGTAGCGTCAAAGAGTCAACCTAAACATGTCGAGAAAAAACTGAAATCCTAGAAATTTAGACGCAGAACTTATATTGGTGTTCACTAGTCCAACAACATGTTCACTTGAGCAGTAATGAAAGACTAAAGTGATCACTGCATTCATATTATATTTTTTTTAATTATGAAGCTTTCTTTTGTATTCTAAGGTATGGATAATCTAAAAAAACCTTCGAAAGATCAGGTCAGACATTTGAAAAAAAGTATTGACATTTCACAGAGGGTACTTCCATTTGAGAGTGTATTCACCTCTGAGCACTTTCAGCAATCAAAATAATTGCCGTACCCAAAACCAGTTGATGAATACTGTAAAAGGGAACAGTGCAAAAGCATGTGCCGCTTAAAAATGTTATTGGAATGAGCCCTCAGTATTGATATGTCTACTATTAAGTCTCTTTCAAGACAGTAGTGCTCAAGAGCACATTTCACACAAAATGCCGGTGTCGGCGTCGTTGCTTGAGGGCAAAATCTTGGCGTTGTCTGTGAGCAATGAAGAGCTAAAGGTTTGAGGTATAGGTGCAAATAAATTAAATAATACAGAACTTCTGCATGAGTGACAATCTAACCAAGACCGGCTGTGTGGCAGGTGTTCTACCACAGAGCCATATAATAGCTAGGAGGTATTTCAACAACAACAAAAAAAAACAACACTGCGCGACTGTGATGTGGTGGGAGAGGTCTCGTTAACGCATTTAATATTACGTGGCATAAGCCTAAGAACACACCAAGAGTCGACACAGATGACTTACGCAACGAGTTGTTGTTTTGAAGCATGATTCAACAAAAAGCAGCCAGAAATATTTATTCTTCATCACCAGTAACAGAACCACCCCAATGGACAGCTGCGCAGATTCGCTCTTGTTGTAAGGACGCGTGACACTGCCGTGCATGACGTATGACCTGAAGTATCGTCATAAAATGCAGACCCAAGATCAGCGAGAGCTTCGCAGGCTTCGTAAAAGTCCCAGCGGCATTAGCAAAAGCACGCCTTTTTAAGGCAGTTCTGCGCACCGTAGAAGCGCTCTCTTCGAACCATTAACCCAATACAAACTGCGTGACGATCAGCAAATTTATTTGAAAACTGACACCGCTCCGCTTGTTCACGTGGTGGTCTCCATAAACGAGACTGAGCTGTTAAGGACCACCCCGGCGCGGCGGTCTAGTGGCTAAGCTATGCGGCTGCTGACCCTCACGTCGCGGGATTGAATCCCGGCTGCGGCGGCGGCGTTTCCTATATGGAGGCAGAAATGTTGTATGCCCATGTGCTCAGAATTGGGTGCACATTAAGGGACCCCAGGTGGTCGAAATTTCCTGAGCCCTCCACTACGGCGTCTCTCATAATCATACGATGGTTTTGGGACGTTAAACCCCACTTGTCATTCAAAGCTGTTTAGGACACGGTGATTGCACGTGACCATGATTGGCAATCATGCCGGCATCCATAGGTTATAAATATACTGTTGTGTTCGCTGGCAGGAAATGGACTTTCACGCTTGAATGTCTTGCCCACAGAACGGTGGGCAGAAGAGTTTCTGCATGTCGACGACGGATTAGAGACAACGGATCAGTTAACCAATAAGGTGATCGTCGTGACATGCTTGCGTCGAAGAACGACAGAGGATGCGACAGGGACGGGTGCAGCGACAATGCACTAGGGCTGTCAGAGTCAACGCTCTTCTCGAAGATCACATAGTCCTTCCGGTGATAAGTTTTCGGGATGAAACTACCTCTACAGCACGTAGAGCATCTGGTCACAGGAAGAATGATGGCACCAAGGTTCGCATGGGTCTGACTATATGCGGTGTTCTCGCGCCTAACTGTGAGAAGGACGTGGCGCGACGTTTAAAGGTATCACCCAAGCTTTTGAACAATTGTAAACCTGCCAGCCTGCCAAAGCAGCCACCTGTCGTTTTAAAAATTATACTGCTCTTTCTAAACTATGTGTCGTTCTTAATGCCGATGATCATTGTGATGTACCTTATCGTTATATATTTTTCTCACAACAGGCCATCATCTGTCCTTTTTCCTCGCAACCTTTCAATACCAATTATCGTTTGTAATTATAATATACACCTAAACTTTGAATACAGTGTTGCCAACTATTCTTCGGAACGTACTCTAAGTCACGGGAAAATTAGCCCAATTTACACTACAAATATTTTTATAATCCAACGTTTTTGAAACACCTAAATACAACAGCGCAATAAAAAAAATAGTGCCGACATCACTGCAAGACATGTAGACATGGGGTTGTTTGAAGATGGTTACATGTGAAGCAGCTAAAAAATTAGTTTCATGCAAAAAGCAACACTCATAAAGGACAGCTGATGGACGGGAAGAGTGTTTAGTATTCGTTAGGGAACCCCGTTGACTCACACAGCAAAGAAGGATTTGGGGACACACTACAAAGGACATGCCAAAAAGTGCAGGCTATTTAGTGACAAAATTACTGTTTGGGCGGAAAGTGAGAGAAGTGCAGACAATTGCACAACTATATATGGCAATGCGCAATTGTCAAAAGAGTGAATACAAAATAAGCAAGGAAACATGTTATTATATACCAAACATAAGCGTACTCTTTGAAGCAAGATCGGATCGCCTTAGTATGCGTATTTCGAATAATGTGAAATTCAGTAAAAAAACATATGTAGATGGAAATCCAAGAAGTTGTGCAGCGTCTTTTAATGATCGTTGATATATACATCTGAATGTATGTTAGGGTGAGCCTACGCTAAGCTATGGGTTTTAGAAAAAAACAATGGAAAGGTAACCACGCTGTGTACAGTAATATTGTACATCGGCGGGTGGGTTTGAGGAGGAAAAGCACACAGAAAGAAGAACAAATATGTTGCTGGATGGACGAGCCGTTTCTGCTGTAAGAACAAGGAAGTCGGGCTGTCAATTTATGAAGTTTTTTTTTTCAGAAATGACACGTTGATTTCGTTAGACAAGTTGAGGCCTAAATTGCATGATGGTCATGGTAATAATATAAAACTTTGAGTTTCCTCACGCGTAGCTCACTGGCCAGTTATAAAGAGAACACTAATAGCCGAAATTCATCTACTCGTCCATTGTGCTCTTATCTTTCTCTATTCAATCGCTCGCAGGCTAGAACTTTTCTCTTATTCCTCTCAGTCGAAATTGTTAATCATGGCGTCTCAAAAGGTTTCTAGAGCCAGCATGGTTTCTCACTTCCTTTGAAGTTGAGGGCATCGCAGCCTTTCTCTATACAGAAAGGCTACCGTAGGGCTTGAGGTATACCTCATCCCGTGGGGTATACCTCAAGCGCTATGTTATCCGCCTATGACTAACCGATGATATCCTGTGATGAAGCCATCATTTGAAACCATGTTAGGTGACGCCAAGTGGTGTCATTGTGACATCGTAACGATGTCTGAAATATTGGTGTCAGTGGTGCCACGATGATGTCATGTGGCACCATAATCACACATCGCATCACTCGAGTTGGCACCGATGGTCCTTTTTCTAGTTTTATGCAGCATTTAAGGTTTTCGCTGTGATAACTGGAACATAAAGCAATCACAAAACACAGAAAAGCACTTTCTGGCGTAACGCACCATTTGGAGACGGAGGAAATTAATGAAAAGTACGAATATCTATGGGGCAAGGCAGCATCGTTAGCACCGGAATGTGTGGGGTAATATCTTTGGTCTCGTACCTATTCGGGAGACATCTGAATTAATTAATTAATTAATTCTAGTATGTTCAAAGAAAACTGTAATCTTCAAACCTTTTCAGGGATGTCCAATATATCGTCTACACTTTTTGATGATGAGCGAAAGTGCAACTCACCCCAAGCTTGGTGAGAAAATCACTTTGCCACTCTAACACCCCACGCTGCCCCAAATAATCTGGATTGACCATACTCCTTATATTTGTTTGCTAGCCAGCAACGGGAAAAAAATTGCTGAGGTTTACAGATACATGCTAATTGTTAACCCAATGGCAATGGAGTTGCCGACTAGTGGAGGACACCATTTTCCATTGCCTGAAAACATAACAAGTTGTGGCTTCAATTTTTACTGCGATATTCATGAAAGAGACATGTGGTTTACCAGAACTCTTCGTATGCTATGCTTAAGAAACTGGAAATGAATAGTAAGTTTTAACGTTGAAACCAAAGTCGTTAAGTATAACAACCGCTTTGCAGTCTTAATGAATGCGTTGGTCAACCTTTGTATTTGAAGTAGAAGACAATGACCTTGGTCTAATATTGTTCAGAAAGGCCGTAAAAATAACAAATTATCATATAGCGAACGTATAAATTTACGACTAGATCCTCAAGTGGCGATTTGCATTGACATCCAGCTGCAGGTAAGAAGCACGCAATGATAATGAACACGTGTGTACATGATGTTATAACTTTTTTCATCATCATGCATGGTAAGTAGTATCTTGATATCAGTTGAGTGATAGTGCCATGGCTCACGTCTTTCGACTTTCTTCTAGGAACTTTCGATTTTGAAGAATCACCTCAAAATCTCATGGCGATGATTCACTCTTTCGATCGAGTTTCTTCTCAGTATTCCTTGTACGTGACACTATAGGAACATATGATTTTATAACCCGTGTCATCAGCTATTTTTTTCATGCTAGTTTGTCGGGCTTTTGTAAAAAGTTTATTGGGGTGCTCGCTTGTCCGAGGTTTGTCCTGAATGCCTTTTCGGAAATTCTTGCTATGATTTTAGTGGTCATGTTAATGTATAAAATGAAGGAGCGTGTTTTGGGTTGGCGTTGTTAACTTACAGCAAAAAATGTTAAGATTGGTGGGTGGGTCGTCCAATCCCCCAATGTATTAGGAAACTCGTTCTTTTACCTAATAACTGTGGCGCATACCAACTTTAGGCATAATTCTTCGTCGTCGACAGCCACTGCATAAAAAAATTGCTCAATATTCCTAACATATGTGCAGCAGATACCATGCCTCTCTGAAGAGTGAAGGATAGCATAGTGACTGCTGTCGTTCTACACAGAAATTATGATTACCCATGGCATAGCGGGTACCCAGCAGGGCACTTGTAGCATTAACCAAAGATTGTTTAGGAAAGCTTTTGAAAGGCCGCTTAGCTTTTACTGTCACTGGTCTGCGCGCCTGGCGTTTTTCATTTAGCGAAAAGGTGTTTTTTTTTTGAGATCATGGATATCTTTAACGCTCTTTGCAATGCTCATTTGCTGTGACGTGAAACTTCGTGGGTGTTTTCTGATGCTTCTTGATTTTGTAGAATATATATGGCAGCTGAGGCTTTGCTTAATGTAATCCTAATAACCGATTATCGGTAACCTAAAAAATTTTTGTCGTGCTCGTGGATGTATCACAAAAGTTCCTCCTATGAGATTCGCAGTTTCCCAATGAAGTCAGTTGTTGACTTTCTTGCTACAGTAAAACCATTTTAGCGAGAGTTGCATAGAACGCGTTACTTTTAAAATGCTCGGAAAATATATAATGCTCGCAGGAATGGTGCTGAAGAGTAATGGAAGCGAAAAGTTTCAGTTCTGGAAATACAGACTTCTCGCCACAACAAACTCTACAACGAGAGACACAATGAACACTACAGGTAAGATACATATTATTACGCCCTTTGGCGGCGAACATTCTCAAGAAATTTCACTCTGCAATTAACCCTTTTCCTACCAAGTTTTTTGGCTGAAAATTAAAAAAAACATTTTTCTTACTTGCTTCTACGTGTGTTAAACCAACTAGAAAAGTTGTTCAAAAGCGTATTTGTTGCGAGATACACGAAAAAAACATGAATGAGCCCTCCATCATAGGTGTCGCAATAAAACAAAAGTGAAGAGTGTCTCCCTAAAAGCCTTACTTATTGTGTAGGCATCAGGAAAGTTTTTAGAACGTTCACTGGTACGTGTATGAAGCAACAAAAGGAAGAAGGCAGGAAGGTTAAACTGAAAGACACCTGGCTGGCTGCCCTACACTGGGTGATTAGGTAAGGGGACTGGAAAGGCGAGAAAAAGAGAAGAAAAAAAAGAAAGAGAGACAGTAAATTCACTGCAGCATGTAGAACTCCACAGCAAGTCAGAGGCGTTCACAGAAACCAATGGATCCCAAGAAACAGAAGAAGGCTTTCACTGCTCCGTGGGCTGTCGAGAGATGTGGATGGTGCTGTAATAGCATCTGCACAGAAAGAGGCCGGTCATCCAGTCACCGCAATGCGTTGGCAACTACTTGTCTCTCTGAGTCAAATCGAGCAGATTGTCACAGCAGATGCTCAATATTTCCATCGGCGCCGCAAACACCGCATGCCGCACTGTCAATCATACCGATTAAAATGGTATAAGCTTTTGTGAAAGCAATTTCCAGCCAAAGGCGATAGAGAAGGAAAGCTCCACGTTGATGCAGGCTGGGTGGAGAACAGAGTTGTAGTGAAGGGTCAAGTTCATGAAGTCTGGTACGTCGTATGCTTGGTGTGTTACACTCGGTCATTGTGAGACTGTGGGCGAGCCGATGAATCTGCCTCGCAGCATCCGCTCTTCAAAGCGGAATTAGAACACTTTTTGCTTCTTGAGTGGACGAGCGAGAAGCGTGATCTGCAGAATCATTTCCGCTGATGCCACAGCGCCCAGGTAGCCACTATCTACTGGTGTTGACAGCTACAGTACCGTTTGGGCTGGATGCACCGACGTTTACGCATAGTGGCACGTCACCATCGGATGACTATAGCGTGCACCTTCATGATTTAGTGTGCTATAGCTAAAGTTTATATTATCTATCAGGACTCTGCGGCTCGTGAATGCCGCCCAAGGTTGACATGAGCAAGCACCTAATAAACACTGCTAGTCAGTGTGCACTTCTTTACGGCGCCGCCCTTTAACGTGAGGAATGGCATTGTGTGCGCCCTCTAGTAATAGAGTAACCTGCGCCTGTAAAACACCGTGCTTCAGCAACACACCAGGTCGACGTTCTTACTTGAGCCACGAACGCACGGAGGTGTTCTACGTCCCGCTGGCCTCTGTCTCACTCCAACAAGGCATGACATTCACTCGTCGAGTAGGGTAGCTTGAAACGCACACTACCGTCGCCATCGTTTCCTTACTGCGACAATTATGGCAGGGGGTTTATATAGTCAGTGCATCGCACTCGCTGTAGTCAGCAGCAAAACACCGTTGGTTCTATAGTAAGAGCTGCTGTACTCCAATACAGTGCCATCACACTCTACTAAAAAGCGAAAACGCAACCAACACACTGGTGTTGGAGATTCCCCGACGCTAGCCCGGGCCATGTTTTCCTCTGCTATCGACACGCTGTAACCATGGCCTCTGGGACTGCGCGCCGGCTTGCAATCTAGGAGGACATGCTGCAAATTGCAATTGCGCCATCGATGAATTGCTTTTAATTAGGCACAAGTGTCATGCCACATCACTTCTCATTACGGCTTACAGAAAGCGGTTCCACTTTGATCAACGAAAGAAAGCACCGTGGGAGAGAATGCGTGAGAGACATAAATCACGTTTGTAGTGAATTGTGTGTCTGTTTCGTTAGCTAAATCGAAGAATGCACGCCTATCATCGTGGGCCTTACAGTTGGAGGTTACGATGCCATGCATTGAATCTTTTCTTAATCTTTTGTTTTTCTCAATCGGAAGCATTTGATTTCACAACGTCATACTCTGGCAGAAATGCGTCACTAAAATATTAGTGGACCGTTGCATAAAACACGTTCTTGTTAAAATAAGTATGTAATGTATCTTGCCAAAGTGTCGAGACGATTGTCTTCGCTGCGTTCCGTCACAAAAAGAAGCATAATATTCACATTCTTCAGTGCACTAATATATGTTTGAAATAAAAAAAAACGCACCAAAGTAAGTCCATAAAAACAACGTTTGAATGCGCTAGTTGTCATTTGCTCACATGCAAAGGCTGTCACTGACAGCTCGTGGGTTTGCGATCGTCTTAGAGAAGGCTTGAAGAGTCATGTACTTAGGTGTAGTCACTGCCTTAATTCACAGGAGAAAGTAAAATCTTCATTTAAAAACGTTTTTAACTCTCCTTACCAAAAAAATCAAGCTCTGCCGGCACGCGCGCACACTCGCTAACCAAAGAAGATGCCATTTTACAAATTTTATTACGTCAGTCCAGTCCTTTTCAACTAAACGCGAGGTTTTAGTGAGTCATCTTTTTACTGTTCTATTTTTGGAAGGCAATAAGGGCACAGCAAGATAAATCAAGGCAACATATCTAAGGTTAAGGTTAAGACTGTTGTAGGTAGCCGGCGGATCTACCCTTGCATAATTTGTAGGCAATTGCCCCGCCCGGTTTCCTATTTGCTAAATTGTGGCTAGTGCACCCTTGGTTTTTTTTAACTAAGCACGAGCAGGCTTTTAAACTAAAAATCGTGCATAGTGTGACGTAAGCCTGCATAAGACGGTGGCCTCTGTGCTATCCTACATGCAGTATTGTGCCGGTACTTCAACTCACCACACCATAGCCAAAACATAATTGTCACTTATCACCAGCACATGCGAGGTCTGTAGCATTCACAAATTTCAAGAGAAGTCGCGACACCTGCTTCCTGAAGATCGAGTGACCACGCGGAAACGCAACATCAGTCAGCTGTCACATGGTGAGCCTAAACGTTGCAGTTCTTCAAGTAAGCCTTGCCGTCGCTTCTTAAGTTCACGAAACTTGAGCAAATAGTGTTATATATCACCACTTTCTTGCACTTCGGGCACAAGGGCGTCACGGAGAGCCTGATCTTGTGGAGCCATGCTGGCGCACGTGCTTATCCCGTTCGGATGCGATGAAGCAAGCAGGCCTCTTCCCTTGATAGCCTCGCCCCACCGCGGTGGTCTAGTGACTCGGCTGTTGACCCGCAGGTCGCGGGTTCGTATCCCGGCTCGGAGGCTGCATTTTTGATGGAGGCGGAAATGTTGTAGGCCCGTGTGCTCAGATTTGGGTGCATGGTAAAGAACCCAGGTGGTCGAAATTTCTGGAGCCCTTCACTACGGCGTCTCTCATAATCATATAGTGGTTTTGGGACGATAAACCCCACATATCAACCAATCAATCAATCCCTTCATAGCCCTTTTGTGACACATGGCTGGTAAGGCGTCAGCTATAATGAGTGAAAATGCGTACTGACAGCTTTTCGTAAGATACGCTGATTGTCTTTGGGAGCCTTCTTCGTCGGTGTAAGCTCCAGAGCACTCCGGGCAAGTCTGTCAGCCACCTCATTACCCGCTATACCCACATATGATGAAATCCATTGAAACTTATGTTTATACCAATGCCGTCCAGGTCTTTAAAGATTCCAAGTGATCTTTAAGTGCATCGATTCAAAACCAATCCATGTTTTAGCCGCTGCAAAGCGGGCTTGCTGTCCAAAAACAGCATGGTTTGTTGCTGCCTCCAAAACTTCAGTACCTTCAGGGCCGCCTGAATTGCCACGCTTTCACATGCTGTCGATAAAACAACGCACTCGAGTTGCACTGCCCAGGACACCTTTAGAGACGGGATGACAAACGCTGTAGCGCTTGCTCCGCACACTATGTCGACTGATCCATCGGTGAAAACTTTCAAATGATCGGCGTATACTTTTCTTCAATATATTCAAGTACAAAAGAATGTACTTCTGCTGTGGGTGTGAAACGCTTGCTGTGCATCCGTGGAATCGTCACTTGACAGTCGACATCCTCATGCGACCAAGGTGGGTCTTGTCGAAGTTGTCTTTGTTTCGCGAAATTGATGCCAAGATGGCAAAGGGTGTTTAGGGTCACGAAAGTTCGCGATTCCGTGCATCGCCGAAGGCGACTGAGTAGTGCTCGTCCTGGACTCGATTCGCCAAGTCGGCAAAGCTGTGTGAGCAGTCGTTGAGAGGCAAGAAGACGTAACGGCGGAACACGAGCTTCATGAAGCACCTTTATGCTCGCTGCAAACTTTGGCACTCTCAAAGCAACTCTTATGCCTTTACGATGAAGTTTTTCCAGCCGTTCGTACTGTGACTCACTCGGAGAGATCAGAGGCAATTGAAAAAGCACACAATTGACAATTACTGCCACGTGCAACTTTATTATTGATGTTTGGTGGCTCCCCTAGCTTGTTCCTGCCATCCTTTGAAGAATGTTTACACGGGGTGACAACGCTGACATTGTCTTGTTTACTGCCCATCGCCAATTCATTCTGGTGTCTAGTGTGACTCCAAGATATCTCATGTACTTAAGTTGTTTAATTGGTGCATCAGGAAGTAATATTTTCGTCCTGGTTTCTCGTCTTCGCATACCTGAGAATAGCATCAATTGAGACTGATTGAGGCTGATATTGTTTAGTACAATGCATTCAAGATAGGTTTGTGCGGAGAGTGTAACTCTTTGACCAATCATTTCCCATCGCTTATGCTGATATTCAGGCAGACAGATGCATATGTCTTCGGCATAAATCGATATTGTACTGCCTTTCTCACAGTCTTGAGAGCATTAGGCAAACCAGCTATGGCCACATTGAACAACATTGGAGACAGGACACTGCCCTGTTGCACTCGTCTGGTGTCTTTCCTTTAGCTACTGAGCACTGTCCCTAACTTCACCTGCATCGAGCGATCATTAAA